CAGATTCTTCCACTATAAAAAAAGAAACATAGTTGAGCTAATGATTTAAAAGCTAAATTTTTTCATTCTTGGGTAACTAAGTCCATAAATCATCCATCAATTCTTTAAATTCATAGTGCTTCTAAAAGTTATGGGGTTATAATCAGCACAAGAATCATAAAATCCAAAGAAGTTGACAAATGCCAATTTAACCATTGATATATCTTTAATATTTGAAAAGAAATATTTCCAAGTTTGTTTCTCATATTTAATTTATGAGAAATAACACAATCTGGAAATTCACTTAACCAAAAATGACTACAATACCTAATTAAATAATGCATCAAATATGTGAGATTACAATTTATGTAATTAAACAATCTAAGAGTAATAAAAAAATTAAATGTTTTCTGGGATTTAGAAAGTGAGCTAAGCAACAAGGGGTGTTATGTTTTTTTTCCTATCTTTATACAAAAAAATCATCTACAACTTCATAAGAAATAGAGTTCTCTAAATCGATATTTCTCTCATATCGATATATAATCTTTTTCATCTTATTGAATCACACATATCATACACAAGATAAAGGCATATTTGTTTCGACAACTATTAATGTCATATGTTGATATGTTGGCCCTGTAAAAAAATAATAATATAATCTATCTCATCCCATAATTAATCATCCAAGATTATTTTTTTCACAAAATTTGCCTTATTAAGATCATTTTTATGATATAAGCTCTGCGTGGCGCTTTATTTCCACAAAAAATTTATCCCCTATTTTATGCATTGTTTCATAATTCTAGGATTTTTTGTAATTTTCTGCATACTTCTTTATTTTTATTTTATTTTTAATATAATTCTGCTCTCTATCATGTTTATCTACTTCTTAAATATAAGAAAAAAAAAAAAAAAACTTTAGACTGGTTCCAAGGTAGATAGAATGCCTCCCAAAATGCTTGTCATAGGCTATTAAAGAACCATATAATGAACATTAAATTTGTATAGCCTTCAGCCACATTATCCACTGACGAGCTACCTTAAACAAACATCTAACTGATAAAGCTTCTATAGTCAAGACTACATTTGAGAGCATGGTTAGACCAACAAGGATAAGAAACCCAAATATTATTGCTAAACCAAATATAAAATTACAACCAAACAATTGAAATAGGAAATAGCAGCAAACACGGCACACAAGAAATTTGAAATTACAACAAACTATGACACAAACTCAACTACGGTGGATCTCAGGTAGTGGTAATCGGTGAGGGTTTGGAAGGTGATGGCAGGATGGTGGATGAGGTGGTTGGCAAGCAAAAAATAATAAGACAATGGTTTCCCGAATTCTAGACAACAAGCACACGACAGGTATTAACATGGAATGACTGTCCGGGAAAATGGCAGCAAAAGGGGATGGTTGGAAAGCAACGAAAATGAAGATGGAGGATTGAAATGGCAAAAGGAGTAATGATGGAGAACTGGGTGCCGGCAGTAAGTAGAAGGGGGAAATGTGATTCCTTGAACACGGTTACAAGTCCAAAGGGAGGAGTGCGAGGTTTGGAAGGCAGCAAAAACAAGGTGGACTGCAGAAAAACAACCAAGGAGGACATTTTTCGGTTGGCTGCAGCAGGTACTACAATGGTGGAAGCGGAGGGAAGAATGTTGAGGTAAGGAAAGTTGAGGATAGTCACCACCTCAGAACGAGATATAGTCTGAGCATCACTCGCCTTTGAATTATAGCCATATAAGAAGAAGCCAGAGAAGTCGACTGCTATCTCGACATTAAAACACACCAAAACTAGAAAAAGACTCTAGAAAAAGTAAGAATAAAAGGAAACATGCTAAAATTTAGGAAGAAATGGAAAGAAGAGCCCTTCGTTCGGCTTTTCTTGCTTGCATGAACCTGGAGCCCATCTCACTGTCACTGGATCGCGAGACCACATGACTCCTACAACTATGGAGTTCGCCTATTTGACACTCGTGTCTGTCTCCCGAAATCGGTAAAGCTTCAACATCATTCATCGAAGCTTCTATCTCCTCATAGTATAGCATCAAGTTGAACTTGTTGAAGATAACAAAATTGGTGTAATCTCATGGTAAGCCAATCTTGTAAAACTGTCATTCTAAAACACATCCTGATATAATAAGTATTTATCCTCTTTTAGCACAACCTAAGTTGAAGCTGCATATAAGTGTATATTCTTATAGTAATTCTCAAGCCGCTAAATATTTAATTTGCCTCTTCCACTCCTCGCACTTGGCAGGGTGCATCAGATAAACCAACTCTTCTAGAGGAACTAACTCGAGAATGACATTTGTGTTAAGTAGGACAAATCTCAGTAGAAACCACTCAAAGAGGTCTAGAGGTCTCTTCTTCTCTGGTAGAACTTGAATTCTATTGTAGAATTTTTTTTCCCACCAAACTCTTAATACAACTTCTAAAGTTGTGGTTTATCCCTCCTGTTTGGCCATCCGAATATGGGTACATTATTGGACTAAAGCCATCCAAAAGTAGCTCACGAGCTTTTTATTTCTGGCATATTGGACCACTTTTAGTGGTAACCACCCATAGGTTAATTGTTGGTCAGGATGCCCGGAAATTTCGTCAACAAGGGTTGTCCATTTTCAGGTATCAGCTTCTCAATTCACTATCTTCTAGAACAACCTACACTAATTCGGCTAGAGTCTCTCTTGTTGGCTCATCTGGAATCACCAACGTCTCTTCCGCATCGGCTTGAAGTTGAGGCTCATCTCTAACGTCTTCATCGTTTCCTATGTCACTATCTATTTCTTCAACAGCTCCCTGCCCAATGAAAGTGATCATTCCTCTAGTTAAGCAATTTGATTCAATATGTCTAAATTTGTGGCACTTGAAAAACTTATTGGCCGGGACGAATTTGGGAATGTTTGTTGGCTCCTCCTGTTCTCCACTCTGAACTAGTTTCTCCTCAAGTGGTTAGTTTGGATGCTCTGTTTGGTGTATTATTGTTGTTTGATTCTAGGGTTAAACTCCGCTATAAGATGTGACAGTCACCCAATAATGTTGTCTCTCTACTTTTGAATCTCGGGTCTAAACAACTTGTCTGTAAAGAACTAGTGGTAATGGTGTTGCATCTCTCGTTTCATCTTTAGACCGGGTAATAATTTTACTCTTCTTTTCTCGATCTCGAGGAATTGAGATACACTTTTCCTTAATTTGTTGGCAGCCAATTTCATCATTCAATCTAGTGGGATACCCACATACTCAAATATACGTTACACTGTCCAAAACCATTCAATGAACTCGTTCGGATCCATGTGATCATCAAAATATGGCAAATCCACATTTACTTCAAAATAGTGGCTCCTCCAATATTTCATACCATATCTTCGGGATAGTGGTTCCTTCATCACTGGAATTGAATGGAGTTGTGTGACCCCTATGGATGGTCTACTCTCAAAGGCGGAAAACCTCTATTGTAATTGAAAGATTTCATACAGTAAAGTTTTCAAAGAAAAATTTAGAATATCTCTTTGCGGATTTTGCATAAACAACATTATATCATTTCCTCACGATGATCTCTAACAATTGTTTCTCTGGTGGTGCGACCAGGGTTTTAGGTTTGAGAGGTGAAAGAGAGTGCACGGGATAAATTTAGGATGGGAAAGAAAAAAATTTGAGGGTTGATTTGAAAAATAGGCAAAGGGATGTGGGGAGATTGAGTTAGGAAGTGAGAGATTTCGGTAACTCTAGAATAAGACTAAGATTAAGCTAGTCTGATACAAAATGATATCGGAGTCAAACCAACAACGATAAGAAACCCAAATATTATTGTTGAACCAAATAAAAAATTATAACCAGACAACTAAAATAGGAAATAACAAATAAAACACACAAGAAATCAGAAATTAAAACAAATGACAACACAAACTTAATTAGGGTGGATCTCGGGGTGGTGGTTATCTGTGAGAGTTTCGAAGGTAGCGATATGGTGGACGAGGTGGATGGCAAGCAGAAAACTACAAGACAACAGTTTTCTTAATTCCGAATAGCAAGTACACAGCAGGTATCAACATGGAATGGCTGTCTAGGATGATGAAGACAAAAGGGAAGGTTTGGAAAGCAGAGACAATGAAGATGGAGGGCTGGAACGGCGATAGCAGAGAGGACAAAGAGCTGTTTAGGGTTGTTGGAAGCAAGGAAAAGGTGGAAATGTGAATTTTGGAAGGCGGTTACAAGTCAAAAGGTGGGGCAAGGTGAACTGCAGATATACAACCAAGGAGGGCTGTTTCAAAGCCGCAACAGCAGGTGCGGCGACGGCTGAGGGAAGGATGTGTAGGACAGGAAAGTCGAGGATTGTCACTACCTCGAAACGAGATACAATAACCGGAGCAACACTCTCACTTGGATACAAAAAAACATACCAAAACTGAGAATACAAACCCTAATAAAATACATATATAGGAAATGATTATAAAAGAAGCAAGGATAAAAGAAAACATGCTAAAATTTAGAAAGAAATAGAAAGAGGGGGCCTTCCGTTTGGCTCTGCTTGCTCGTGAGAATCGAATGCCCGCCTCACAGTCATGGCATCGCGAGACCCTGCGACTTCCCCATCCGCCTATTTGACACCCACGTCAATATTACTATGTTATATGATAGTTACTTGCCAGCCTTATGAAACTATAAATAGATAAGGTAAACTTTAGGACAAGTATCTGAAAAAAAAAGAAGCATATGTGTAAAAAGTATATTTTATACAGTTCAAAAAAATAATTGTAGCTGGAGAAAGAAATGAGCAACTCATGCAACAAATGTAATCTACAAACTGTTGAGCAAGACTGAATAATCAAAGTATAACTAATGCAATGATCTCAATTGAAATAAACAGGTTAAAGCTCTCATTTCAGGCAAGTTGCTGCATGCAAAATAAAAATAAAAATGGTTTTTGCTAAGTAATATTAATAAATCTCAGTTTAGTTTATAAAAAGGCCCGTTTAGAGATCAAACTAAATGAACAAAAAAGAAAACATCTTACACTTGAGTTATTTGCCGGCTCTCATGGTTTCCTCTGAGAATTGTGATTCTATCTCTATAGCGGACTTTCAAGGCCACCAGTAGCGTTACAGTCTCCACTGAGTAATAACCACGGTCTGCATTTATATCAGTGAGCCACTATTATTGAACAGAAGTGCAAAACAAATTGACACTTGATAAAAAATATGAAGAATTCTATGCACAGCTGAAAATATTATGCCCCTCACCAAGTATTTTTGTAATATAAATAATGTTTCAAAGATAAATATACCGCATACACAAGCAAGAAAGAGAGAGAGAGAGAGAGAGTGCCCGGGAGTAAAAAGATTTGAGAATAGATATAGACACATGAAGCTAATGAAGGATGCTGAGCGTAAGGTTATATTTAACATGACTTACGAAGATCTCAATGTTCTATGATGGCAGTATATTTAGCAGATGAAGAAGATTGCAGTGAAGCATGGTAAAGCAATGATACTCGGCCATAGAGAGTAGTAAATCGAGGCTTTTAAAGTACTCTTCATCATCATTGTTCATGGTTATTTGCAAGAAAGAAGAAAGCACAACTCTAACTCCATGAAGGACAATATATAAATTAATAACTCTTTTCTTTAAGAGAAGAGGATTTGTACATAAAGAAAATATAGAAAATAATAAATTATTTTTCAGAATAAGGAGATTTATGCATGCAAGGCTCTCAAATACAATTGCATAACTCTCAAATACATTATGGCGCTAAATAAAAAAAACTAAGAAAACAAATGCACCACAATATATACAATTGTACTACTTTTTTGTATAATTCCAACGCCTTAAAAAATTTTCATTGTCCAAACAATTCCTAACCAAAGTTTCATACATTCTCAATGGAGAAGGTCAGCAACCACCATAGCCCCAGACCGACGCATTATTTGTTGGGGTCGACATTGAAAGATACATAATGAGAAAAGAGGGATGGAAAGGTGGTAAGTAACCACGCCACCAACTCCAACCCAATCGAGTAGTTTGAATTAATCAAATGAAACTGAGAAATAGGTTTGATGTCATGTTTGGCAATTCAGTTTTTGGTATGAATATTTGCAAATTAACTTTTACCTTCCACATGATTTTGTATCTAATATAATTAACCAAATTAAAAATACTAATAATTATTCATTTATAATTTATTAGTCAATCAATTGATACGGAATACAAGTCCAAAATCCATAACCAGATATGAAGTCCAATCCAAAATTAAATTTTAGATTTAGAACCTAGTCCGAAATCAAAAGCAGGGATTCTAAATAGAGGAAGTATCCAAAATAAAATTGGACAATGGATCCAATCCAATTCAATGCACAACCAAATTTCATTAGAAATTCACTTATAAAAAAAACAAAATGAAATAGCATTTGGTTGGTTTGATTTTAATTATTGAAGGAACTCCCATTTGCTTGGTTTGTCAATAAAAAAGAATAAAACAAAGCATTTGGCTATCACAATAAACTAGGAAAACCACATCACTAAACCAAGTCATAACCAGTAGGGTCGGGAGATAAAGAGGGGATGTTGTTGATAAGCGCTCTGTTAGTAATTAGTAGCCACCGCCAGAACCAACATAACCCATCAACCTTTGTTGATTAGGATTGGGCTAGATAGCAAAGAGATTGAGGAAAGCTTAGAGCTATCAACTGTCCCCAATCTAAACCAACATTTTTTTTGTTGTTAGGCTTTTAAGAGAAACAATAAGTACTTACGAGGGGTATTTTTAACAGTTTGCTATCAAATAACAATTTCAACCAAAGAGCTTCAAAAAATTTTCTATACTCTAAAGACCTAAACAAAAAAAATTTAAAAATTGTAAGCAGTAAAACATCATCTTGGCCTAAGAGTCTAGATGCAATTCATCCAAACCAATCCATTGAACTCTGCTTTGCGTTAAAAAGAGTATATTGAGTCATTACAAAAGTAAAACTATAAGGCATCCTAGCTCATAGAACAACAATCATCAAAGGATAATAAATATTTGTAATTAGTTTCATAAACTAATGCTTAATTTGGTAATTCTTTTAATCTTCTTTTCTTTTTAAAAACACGCCACAACTTTGATTTGTACATTAATGTGTATTTGACATGTGCTATACTCATTATGGCTGACAAAAAGCTCTAGGAGCAGCATTTTCCATTTATATAGTAGTGGTGGTGACTTCATGCTTAGCAACCAAACATGACAAATAAAAAATGCTAAACCAAGTCCGAGACACATAAAACAAAAATTAAATGTTGACATCTTGTTAAGAAAAATTCTCCTCCTCTCGATCCCCTCTTTATAAATATTAACATGGTTTATGCAAAAATTTCCTTGCTCAAGAAATTGATCAAATTGTGATGGCTCAACATCATAATCTAACTATTTATTTAATTGATTGTAATAAATTATATTTCATACATTTCTAAGATTTCACAATAAACTTGCAAGGATAAATATCCACCAGAATGGGTGCATTAATATCTAATAAAAAAGGCATGGTCGTCATCTCCTATATCTTAACACCAAAAATTATAGTCATTTAAGATCTTGTAATCCACTATGCATTGCATTTAAACAGCCCGCATAAACATTTTCACTATCACTATGCCCCATATTCCTTTGAATTCATCTAGCCGAGCAAACTTGTACAAAAATGCCAGTACCGAGTAGGACACTATAAAGAAGCAAGATACTTTCATGATACTATCAACTTACTGCTTGAAGGTTAAAGCGTACAACTAGCATTAATTTCAAAAAGCAACGCTAAGAAAAGTTTGGGGTTTTTCATTTTTTCCCATCTAGCATGTACTCTATCTAGCACAAGCAACTCTATAAAATTTACTTTATTTAAAACAGATACATATCCAATTCCACGAGATAGATTTATTGCATTTAAGAATATAGACAGAACCGGCTAATCCAGAAAGGAACAGGAAAAAAAAAAGAGGAAGATTTACTTATAAACCACACAATTTTTATATATTTACATATCTAATACCTAAATTTCAATTTTACCATATATAAATATGCTGCCCTATCTATGCATAGTTTTTTGAGTCGTAATGTGGCAATTCTGTTCTGGTATTCGTGTTATTGAGATGTTATTGGGGTATTATTGTAGCATTATTGCAATATTATTGCAGTGTTATTAGGTTGTTGTTGATGTGTTATTGTGGTATTATTTAAGTGGTATTTTGAATTGGTGTTTTTGCATGCATTTTTTATGGTAATTTGATTATGTAGAGGTGTTAATTTGATGTTAGTATAGCAGTATCTCAGTTGCATAACATGATCATTTTGGAGGCAACATGGTGTTATTTTGTTGTTGATTCGATGTTATTGTGGTGATATGTATGTTGTATCCTGAATATATTTTGGTGTAATAAAGGTGTTAATTTGTCCGGACATATTTGGTGTTACCATGTATATGTTTTGTTGTTATTTTGTTATGAACATATCTGTGTTGTATCCTGAGCATGTATTTTGATGTTATTAGGTTTCTAATTTGTCTACACATTTTGGCGTTATACTGGATATATTTTGGTGTTATTGTGAACAATATCTTCGTGTTATTCTAGACATATCTTTATATTATTCTAGATATATTTTGGTGTTATTCTGGATATATTTTGGTGCTATTGTAAAAATATTTTGGTGCTATTGTAGAAATATTTTGGTGTTATTATGAACACTTTTGACGTTAACAAAATGTCTTTCTTGCATCATCTTCTTTTGTAGGTTTTTGAACCCAAGGATGTTCAATTGTTGGTGTCGACCATCTACAGTGAGATATGTTCTTGATAATGGTCAACCTATCTGAGAAAACTGTGAACACCTTGAAAGTTTTGAAAGTGCTTCAATTTTTTGATCTATCTCAATTTTTCAATTTCCTAACACTACACGTCCTAAAATGTTGGGATGTTCAGCAGTGTATTCAGGATGGGCGAGAAAGAATTAAGATTAGACTTTGACCAATTTGCCCTACTGATAGGCATACCCAACAGAAGAGAACCAAAACACTGGAATAAAACCCCCACTTGTGATGTAACTGCGAGACAGATAAAGAAAAACTTAGTGAAAGTTTTATCAGGAGAGTGCTCTATGTCATTTGATGAATTGTTTTTAAAGTTTCTGTTAACAAATTTATTTCTTCTTTCGAGCAACTTTAATGTGCCCAAATGACTTTACACTTTTGCCGAGAATGTACATTTTTTTTCCTTCTTTTAATTGGTTTGTTGTTGTTTGTGAGTTTTTTATTAACTAAGTGAATGTCGTCGTCACAAAATTAAGGTTGAATCAGTTATTGTGCGATATCAATAGATTTATTTTTCTACTCACGGTTAGTATGATGTTTACATCATTTTAAATTTCTTTTTTTAGTCAAAGCAGAGTATGATTTCTCTTTTTAAGTCAAACCAAATTATGATTTAACTTTTACAGAGCTCCGATTTTATGAGCATACATCTATTGTTACTTCTGCTGCACCTGAGCCTAGGCCTCGCATGTTGAGGTGGCCAACAAATGTGAGTTGGGACTCATACCTGATACATCAAACTTTTAAGAAGCTCAACCCTGTGCGGAGTTTTATCTCATTAAATAATTTTATTCTTTTTTGGAAAATTCAGTTTACGTGTGATTGTAATTATGACACGTTGTAGTTTTAAGATACCCTTTTGGATTTGAAAGACGAAGAACACCACATGCTCACTCCTGCAGTTGTAGGACAACCTAGTCCAATTAAAACGCCTAGTTATATCATCCATGAAACTCATTTCATACCACAATCACCAATTTCATGTGATGTGAACCCTCTCATTTCAAGTGACATCACTTCGCAGCCAACGTGCATAGGGGTCAATAAAGGATTTGAAGAAATTATTCAATTACTTAGAAATCTAGAAAAAATTCTTTGTGAATTTTAAGAATCAATAAACATTAAAGTATTCAATTTACAAAATAAAGTTACATACTTGAAGAGTGAAGTTAATAAATTGGAAAATATAATAATGGCATTGGACGGGAATTCAATGAAGAAAGAAAAATACAATCCTCACTTGGTTGTATAATTCGAAGGGTTAAGGCTAGACAAAAAAAAAGGAAGAGAAAATTAAGTTTCTCGTACCCTACATTTGAGTTGCAGAGAAGGAAAACTAAATCTGTAGATGTTCAAACAATAAAAGATGTTGTGAAACAACATGCAATAAAGGATGTTGTGGATACTTTATTCGTTGGGAGTGAGAGGTTACTTGTAGATATTGAACGAACAGAACAAACAATAAAAGATGAAATCGATGTTCAAAAATCAACTCAACAATAAACAATAAAAAATGTTGTGGAACAACACTAAAAGATGAAATCGATGTTCAAAAATCAACTCAACAATAAACAATAAAAAATGTTGTGGAACAACACACAATAAAGGATGTCGTAGATACTCCAGTCGTTAAGGGTGACAGTTTACTTTTAGATATTGAACAAGTAAAACAAACAATAAAAGATGCAGAATCTCTAACTCCAGTGCGCATTACAATCGCGTATGAGGAGAGAGATCTCCAAGACAATAGGACAGAGATTATTTAGGCAAATGATTATGTGACAAAGATATTTTATGAAAAAATAACTCTTGATATTGTGTACCACAACTTTTAAGTTGACATTAAAGATTATTTTTTGGTTATGTTGCCTTGTCCAGCTCAGTCAGCGTCGATTTTACCAGTAGAACAGAAATACCTCTTGAAATGCAACAAGTAATTGATCGATATTGCAGCAGATGGAATGATCAGTATGTAAATGTTCATATTTCTCTGTTATGCAAAACTTTTTTATTTGAATATAATAAAAACTATGTGTTAACGCTACATAAGTGATATTAAGATTGGTGTTGGATATGTGGTAGTTAGTTGTGCTGGCCTTGAAAACAACCTGTTAAATGAATGGTTTGATAATGAACACGTCAATGTTTTTTCTCTAATAATAGATAAAAGAGATTAAATCGTCGACATTATACATACCATTTCTATATGTATCACCACTACATTGGATAATTATTCAAGTTCAACAATATCTTATAAATTTAATGTAGCATTTATTTGTATACTCATCCCAAGATGACATTTATGTCAATTTATGCAACATATAAAGATACACACTGATCAATCTTCATAGAACACATCAAAAAAGAAAATGTCAAAAATTTAGAAATTATATTAATTTCTGTTGTTGATAAACAACCCTGGATGTTGTTGGTGGCGCATCTAAAGGTAAAAATGTTGAGATTATACGACTCTTTACCCAACATGATGCACAGTATTGTAAGCATATTCAACAGAAGCTTAGTGATTTGTTATTCAGTTCATATTTTTTGGTATTGTATGACGCATTTTAATTCAACCTCAAACTTTATAAATCAATCTATTGGTAAGAGATGATGACAAATCATTTTGAAGTAATCCATCAAAATATTCCGTTGTTATGACTAAAGACTCCCCAACACAGACTAACAGTGTCGACTGCGACATGTTTGTTTGCAAATATATGAAAAAATTAGTGAGAACCAAGAGAGTTGATTGGAATGACAAATTGGGCTAGCATACAGAAATGACAAAATTTAGAGTTGAATTCACATATGAACTTTGTTTGTGAGCTTTGTCAAATGCATAACTGACTAACTTTAAACAGATTAGCTAATACTCTATTGGTTTTAACCTTATTTTATTAATGAATACCAAAATTTATAAGTGTGGGGTTTGCCTATGGTCTTTATTGATGCTTTTCTGAACTTCAAAGTCAATTTCTTTTATTTCTTAAAATCGCCACAATATTACTTCAATAACACCACAATAAGAATCTAATAACACCCCAAGAACACCACAATAAAACTGTAACAACACTATAAATACATCACAATAACACATCAATAATGCTACAATAACACCACAATAAAACTCAAATAATACCATAATAATATATCAATAACAACTTCATAACACCGCAATAATAATGCAATAACATCATAATAACATCACGATGCAATTACAAAAACACCTCAATAACACAACAATAAAATCATAATAACACCACAATAACATTCCAATAACACAAATCGAATAGTACCACAGAGCCACCACAATACTACTTAAGTAACACCACAAAACACCTCAATAACACCTGAATAATACTACAATAATACTACAATAGCATCATAATAACACCGTAATAATATCAGTCTAATACTATCACAGAACTGTCATAATATCACTCAAATAACACCTCAGTCACATTAAAAAAGTCACAATACCACCCAAAAATAACACAATAATACCACAATAACACCTAAAAAATACCACAATAATATCATAATAACATCATAATAACACCACAAAATCATCGCAATAACACTTCAATAACGTCACAATAATACCACAATAATACTATAAATTGATGTCGACATTTCAAATGCAGCCAAACTCAACTCCATTTCAAACTTTTCGTCACTATTCTCAGATTCTATCACCTACATTTCATAACTTTTTTTTCAGATTTCATCACCTCCATTTAAAACTTATCATCATTTTTTTTTCAGATTTCATTATCAATGTTTTTCGTCCGACAAGAAAGATGGACTAAGAAAATCGCTCTGTGAAATCCTACCCGATAGTATTAGTAGAAAATGAAAATTAATTCGGCGCAAAGAGTTTTGTTTTTAAAGCAATGGATTAGATTGAGTCGGGTCATGCATTAAAATATAAAATTTTTCATTTTTTATTCAATGGGTCCGCCGCGCGAAATCCCATTGGAGTCTGGATGCATAGTTACGTCCGGATTCTGGATACAATATTTTCTAATATCCACATTTATATAGAACACAAGCAACCCCATAGAAGCGACGACAAAACCAAACAATTTGAAACAAAGCAAGCTAATCTCCCGCACTAACCCACGTAGTCTCCCATAAAGAGATAATTGGTATCCGGAGCTTCACCGCCGATCTTGAACAGTTCCATCAAATCATAAAACTGGCCGTGTATATCCCCGCAGACGGTTACAGGGCACTTCACCGGCTGCACGTTCCATTCCTCCATGAGGACCGCTCTCGCCTTCTCGCAGAGAGCCTTCACCTCTGCTTCCGTTAGAAACTTGCATTGCCTCAGCTGCTCGATCTGACGGTCCAGATCAGCATACGAGGGCATCTTTAGTCACTCCTCTCTCTTGACGGCCAGATCATCGATGGCAATCGATCCTGCAATCGTTTGATCGCCCCCGCAGCCGACCTTATACGAATCAGAGCATATTGGGGATTTGGGGTCTAGGGTTAGGTTTGCGAGAGAGGAGAGGAGGAGGAGGAGGAGGAGTAGGAATGGCTTGATCCTTATCCCCCTGCGCTCGGAGCTCACCACTTAGCCGTCGGGGCGATCATTTCAAGTCTGCGGCGGAGAATTAGGATGCATACAGAAGAATTTTACATTGATATCATCTAGAGAAATTGATTTTATATTTCACGATAATATATGTTCATAAATAATATATAATTTTGGGACATATATTCTTATGTTATTTCGCATTTATCAACTAAAATTTAATTTTTCATATAAATAATATTGTTATTGTTAATTTGAAAAAGTGAAATGCATCTTTGGTAAAGTGGAATACAGCTGAAAATCAAAATTTAGGTGTTAAATGTGTAAATATATAGGAATTGTGTGGTATGCCTGTAAATCTTCCTATAATTTTAGCATATTTATGTATCTAATATTTGAGCTTTAATATTAACTTTATGTAAAAATTAAACCTTTAATATATGTATCTATATGTATGTATGTGTATGTATTTATGTATGTATGTATATGTCTGTATGTGTTTGTATGTATGCATGTATGTGTGTGTATGTATATATATGTATGTATGTATATACATGTATGTATATACATGTATGTATATGTCTGTATGCATGTATGCATGTATGCATGTATGTGTGTGCGTATGTATGTATATACATACGTTATGTATGTATATGTATAGAACTTTAGTGCTTTGAATTCACACATGAAAAGTTGAATTTCATTTTTAAAAAATTATAATAATGCTAATTTTGATGCAATAAAAAAGATTTGAGTGCTACAAGTATAAATATGATTGTTTAGGTATATGATATAAAACTAAATAAGAATTGTGTATTATGTAACCGCCTTTTAATTTTTTAAGTGTACATTTACATGCACACTACACAATTCTTATGTATTCACATATCTAACATTTAAACATTACCTTTTACATTTATACCAAATATTAAACTTTGAGGCCTTAAATTATGTAAACTTTGCTTTCCACATTTAACCCCCAATATTCATTTTTTTCAAAGCGTTAAAATGGCTTGGATTTGAGGCCTTACACCTGAAGGGTTTAGTTCATACATGGGTTTGCATTAGCCTTAGGTTCAATATAACAAAAGTGAACTCATTTTAATGGATGGTATGATCAAACTTACATGAGGATTTGGTCCCCAACCAAAAGCAATATATTCCAGTAGGTAGTTTTTTAAACATCCATGTGCTGCATGAATAAATTTGATAAAACTGATTCCATAAATGGATTTTCAAGCAGGATCTCAATTTGAGTAGCATGCAAACAATGCATATAAAAAACTAATGGGGGCATTTACACATATGCCGCCGATTTTCTATGTATTTACATATTTAATATCTAAATTTTGTTTTTTTACATTTATATCAGCCAAATCTTGCATATCACATCAACAATACCAACATTGTAAGTTTTATAAAGTGAAATACACTTTATGTTTATAGGCAGTGGTATGTACTATGTATGTAATTAAGAGAAATTTACATACACACCACACATTTCTTATGTATTTACATATCTCACACCCAGATGCTGATATTTGCATTCGCGACACCTAAGTCTCAAAAACCTACGCGTGAAAATGTATATTTTTCTTTTAAAAAGATATTCATGATGATATTTTTAATGCGTTGCTAAGGATTTGGGTGGTATGCGTGTAAATATGAATGTTTGGGTGTTAGATATATAAATTCATAAAATTTATGTGGTATGTAAGTAAATGCTCCAAAGATTAAAGTTTAGGTGACATATATATAAATAAATAGGAATTGAGTGGTATGCATGTAAATCTTAAAAAACTAATACATAAGTTACATAAAAAATTTCTCTTTTAAATCACAAAGTAGGCTTCTAAAAGAATCAGGTTTTTTTAATAATCTAAACTCAACTAGAGATCTCTCAAAATTTAAGAGCTTTTAACAGGAAAAAAATTTTGCATCATGACTCTAATTAGGGTTTGTCACGTGCACAGACAAGCCCACCTTAGTAAACAAAAATTAATTTAATATATTGGTGGGTCTGTTTGTATACGTGGCAAATCCTGATTAGAGTCATGATACAGTTTTCATCAGACTCCTGATGCAATTTTTTTTTTTTCTTTTTAAAAGACCCATGATTTGAACTACAAACCATAAATATGG